AGGTTCCCTGAAGGTCTTGGTAAGGCAGGGCCTCTCTGCTCCTTCTCCAAGCCTGGATGCTCTCACAAACTGGTTCAGCCACTGGCAAAGACCCAGTTGATCTGGGAGCCAGAGACACTAGAAGTCTGCGGTGTTCAGGATCTTACAGCAGTAGGCAGCTGGGATTTGAACCTCTATGCCTGGCTAGGTGGCCCCCAGAAAGTAGCAGAGACAGCTTGGCTTCTCTCTTCCACACTTCCATATGCATGTCATGTTACCACATGTCCCCTTGGACCCAACTGTGTGCTCTGACCCACCAGTTCTGCAGTGCTTGGAGGACTCCCCCAAGTCCATCAGAATGATCCTATAAGACCTTGAGAGTGCAGCTCACATACTGGGGTCTCATCAGCTCCGGGTGCCAGGCTTCTGTGGGTGGAGGGGCAGTGACTCTAGCTAAGGACAGAAGGAGATCGTGTCCAGACTAGCCTCTCCATCTTGTTTTTCTCCTTTCAAACACCCAGCTAAGCCTGACCCACCTACTGCAGGGCACGCTGTGCAGCTCAGCATGCCCCACTGCCCACCCTGCCTGGGAGGCGGTGAACTTGCACTCACTGGTCAATTCATATCAGTCCCAATGAAAGACATGTGTGGCCACAACACGCACCTCTGGAGTAGAGATGTTGCACTCTATGCCCACATCCTGTGGAAGAAAGATAAATGGGACCCTGGGGAGCCCCGAGGGGAGACAGAGTGAAGCTCCTATCTGTTAGCACGTTTGCCCTCAGCTCTCCTGGCTGCAGAAGCCGATGTTTGGGACCAGAGATCTCTGTGACTCTGAAATGCTGTGGCTGCTGTTCCTCACCCTCCCTGGCCTGGGGAGCACAGTACCTGTGACTCCTGGTGAGTCCTAACCTTGAGCCCTTCTGCTGTCCCTGGCTCAGATTCCTGCTCCAGATCGCCTGGGGTTATGTCAGACTGTCAGTTTGCCAGGAATCTCATTGACTCCTGAGTCGTGGAAATCTCTGCCTGGTGTCTGATGTTCCTACTTGCTTCCCCAGACCTCGGTTCAGGACAGGAGTTGGTTGGCATCGTTGGGGGCTGCCCTGTCTCAGTCAGTCGGTTCCCATGGCAGGTCAGCCTGAGGTTCTACAGTATGGAGTACAGAAAATGGGAACACATCTGTGGGGGCTCACTCATCCATCCTCAGTGGGTGCTGACTGCTGCCCACTGTGTGCAGCCGTGAGTAGGGTGACCCCTTCCCTTGGCTGGGAACAGATGGACATTGGGAGGTGGGTGGTACTTTGTGGGCAGGATTCCTGGTGGGAGACAGGATTTCTGAGACCTTCTGATCCCTATGTATGTTCTGAGGTTAATTTCCCTGCCCTTCAGCCTCTCTGAGGGGTTCATTGTCCTATCTCCCAGGAAAGAACTGGAGGCTTGTGGCTTTAGGGTCCAAGCTGGACAGCTGAGGCTCTATGAAAACGACCAGCTGAGAAAAGTGGCCAGGATCATCCGCCACCCCAAGTTCAGTGAGAAGCTGTCTGTTGCGGGGGGTGCAGACATTGCTCTGCTGAAACTGGACACCCCAGTTGTGCTGTCTGAGCATGTCCACCCTGTCTCCCTCCCTGCTGCTTCCCAGAAGGTCTCTTCAAAGAAGACCTGCTGGGTGACTGGCTGGGGTGTCATCGAGAACAACAGTGGGTATCGGGGAGACCTCATGTCCATGGTCAGCACTGGTGGGAAGAGGCAGTAGCCCCCCAGCTTTGGTTCTCAATGACTTTTCTCCACAGTGCCGCTGCCTCCACCCTACCACCTGAGGGAAGTGGCAGTCCCCATTGTGGAAAACAATGACTGTGAGCGGAAGTACCAGGGCAATTCTTCCTGGAACAGCAACACCAGGATCATCAAAGATGACATGCTTTGTGCTGGGACGCAGGGCCGGGACTCCTGCCAGGTGAGGGCCCGAGTGTCCTCTCCTCTCTCTCCCTTCCTGGCCCAGGACACTGGGACCCATTCACCCTGGCATCATGGGATGCCTGGAATGCTGATTCCTGTCTTTTCATACAGAAAGACTCCGGGGGCCCCTTGGTGTGCAGGTGGAACTGCTCCTGGGTCCAGGTGGGTGTGGTCAGCTGGGGCAGAGGCTGTGGACTTCCTGATTTCCCTGGTGTATACACCCGAGTGATGAGCTACGTGTCCTGGATCCATCGCTATGTCCCTGCGTTCCCAGAACCCTCAATGGGGCCAGGTGGGGTTCATACAACACAAGAAACCCTAACAACTCTTGATGACCCCGTCACTCCTCCTGCTGGTCCAGCCTCACCCTGTTAAACCTCCCTATTCCATGGTAGTAGAACTCCCTGTGCTCCTGGTCTAAAGTTTCTGCTGTCCCTTAGCTCTGGGAGGGAGGAGCTAAACCCACATCTCTCAGAAGTAGCTGGGCAGCCCATATCTCCTCCTTCCCCTGTTTCCCATTAAATGGTGGATTGTCTAAACGCTGTCTGTTTGAATTTGAACTTTGTATGAAGGTGAGACATCTTCCATTAGTACCTCTGAGCCGTTGGTGCTGTGAAGAAGAAGTGCCCACAGTCACTAAGTTAGTCCGCACTACTCTGTTGAGTCCAGCCCTCCAATGTGGGTGGTTGGGAACAGCGTAGCCTTGTTATAGGACAGGCTGCAACATTGCAGCTAGGGTTGGACGTAGGGGTGCTATGGGGAACACTTCAGTGATCAACAGTGAAGGGTGTTCTCAGAGCTCACACAGGTCACAACACAGGGCTCCAGCAGACCTGAAGTCCTGGGCCAGGGACTGGGTGGAGTACAGAAGCCTCGTCTATCCTAGTGGCTATGAACTTGTCATCTTAGGCCCAACACAGGGCCTCATGGTGGTGACAGTCACACCCCAGGCAAGTTTGCTTCCACTTGCCCATATCAGATGCAGGCCCAGTGAGGAGCTTTTCACCCTCCCTGGTCACCTATGCATTATAACACACCCAAGCCCAACAACCTTTAGCCAGATAGACCGTCATGTCCTGTTTCCTACTCTGTTGGGCACTCCCCGTTTCCACCTGGGGTGCTTATGAGACTGAGACACCCTCTCGACTCTGGGAGCATGGCTGGAGGTATCACCATTCCCAGGCAGATTCACCACCCCTGGACATGGTGTTTCTCTCGAGATGGGATCATGTGGCACTCTCAGTGTCCTTTACCAGACTGCCTAGTTGACGATGACCTTGAATTTCTGATCTTCCTGCCTTTGCCTCTATAGCGCTGGCCATCACAGATTTGCACCCTACCCAGGTTGTACAGGGTTGGGGGTGGGACCTAGGGCTTCATGATTACTAGGCAAGTACTACTAACTGAGCTACACCCTTGGCTATGTTTTCTTTGTAAACATCTTATTTTAAGATGAAGGAAACTGGGTTGCTTAGGGGACAAAATGATGTCTTTGTCATGAGCCAAAGAACAAAAGTATTTTCAAAATTTAGGTGCACATATTCTCATTCCTCTTTGACTGAGCTCCCAAAGTCCAGTTGAAGAGTGGGAGGAGTGAGAATATGAACAAAGAGGTCAAGACCATGATGGGAACATCCACTGAAACAGTCTACCTGAGCTACTGGGAGTTCACCAACTCCAGCCGGACTGGGAAGGAACAAACATAGGACCAAAAGAGTCTCTCTGAGTGTGGGTGACAGTTGTATGGCTGGGGCAGACTGAAGGGCCACTGGCAGTGGCACTAGAATTCATTCCTACTGCATGTACTGGCTTTTGGGGAACCCATTCTCTTTGGATGGATACCTTGTTCAGCCTAGATATGGTAGGGAGGGCCTTGGACCTTCCCCAAAGCAATGTGCCTTCCCTTTCTGAAGACTGGATGGGCATGGGGTGGGAGAGTGTGTGGAGAAAATGGAAGGAGGGCAGGGAGTGGGAACTTGGATTAGTATGCATAATGAAAAAAGATAGTTTGCTTTCTTTCTTTTTTTTTTAAATTTAGGTGCACATGGTTGCTTTGGAAAAAACAAAACAAAACAAAAAACCCAAAAACCAAACAAATCCAAGCATCCACGACGCTACATTCTCACTGCCAAGGTTACATTCTGTGACCCCAGGGCAGGGTGACTCTCCTAAACATGTCATCAACAATTATGTTTGTTCCAATATTTGTAAAGGGAAATTGCTTTCTTTCATTACCATTCAGAACATGAGTCACAGCACTTTGTCAATGGATTTATGCAAACCACCCTTCTTCCCCATGGGTCCTGCAATGAATGTCTCTGGAGGCATTGTCTTGTCAGCTAGGAAACCTCAATCATTGGTTTAGTTTCTCTTTGTGCCTGTGTGGGAAAAAAAAAAACCAAATGCAGTAGTTTGGCCAAATTTAAATGAATAACGCGTCATAGAGTCTCAAAAGGCAAGAACCAGACATTGCCAAGACTTTCTGGAGGAAGGGGGTGTATCAGAAACCTCGATGAATTAAGTAATTCAATGAGACTATGTGTCTTGGCTCATACCTATAATCCTAGCATTCAAGAAACACAGACAGGAAGGTTGTGGTGAGTCAAGGCTAACCTGGGCTACAGAGATCCTGCCTCAAAACAATAATGACCCTAGCAGGGGTCTACACAGTGGCCTCAGACAGAAGTGCTTTTATTGAATGCTAGGCATTTTAACGATAGGGTCAGGTACACCAGCCACCTCCAGAACACCACTGAGTGCTCCAGAAGCGGCTAAGGAGGGTGCTACTTGACTCACTGGACTCTTCACACATGACAAAAGCTTGAAATTAAGGAGGCCGCGGCCGTTGCTGGCCTCTGCTCGGGTGTTCTGGGTTGCTGTTGTGTTGGGTGGGTCAGGTAGTTGTGAGCAAGCATGGGATGCAGAGCCCACAACCCGGACTAGCTGCCCCTTTCCACTGTCAGCTGACAGCATGTCCTGCCTTTTATGAACTCTTGTAAGTGCTGCTATGTCTATCAACTTTTAATAAAGATAATATCTTTGAAAAAAAAAAAACAATAATGACCCTGAAGCCAATTAAACCAACCAGGTTCCTCTCCTCATGGGGACCTAGTGTGCAATGGTTGCTAAGAGCAGTCTCTTTGGGAACGTGTGCAGCTGGGTTACCTAAATGGGTCACCCCAAGGGACCTTGCAGACAGTTTTCTGGTGGATATTAACGTCTCTGATCTCAATGTTGTCCCCAAGCTGGGCTCCAGGCAGGTGCCTTTGGGAAGCCCCAGGGCACAGTAGTCAGGGTTCACACTGGCCAGCTCATCGTGTCCACCTGGACAAAACTAGACTAAGGAACATGTGATTGAGGTCCTGTGTAGAGCCAAATTCAGGTTCCCTGGCCACTGGAAGGTACATTCTTCAAAGAAGCGGGATTTTCACCAAGTTTGATGCAAATGAATTTGACGACACGGTAGCAGAGAAGTGGCTCTTCTCCCATAGCGGTGGGGTGGAAGATGTTCCTGATTGTGGTCCCTGGACAAGGGGCAGCCCACGCATGCCTGAGGGCTTCCACTGTACCGTCCTGCAACCCACCAAATCACGTTCCGTAATAAATCTCACGTTGTGTGTGAGAAAACAAACAACAAACAAACAAAGAGATGACAACAAGACAAGCCCTATTGTAGCAAGAGAGGCCTCCGAGGCAAAACCCAGGTACACATGCCTGTGGCAGAGCTGCTAGGTGACATTGAAAACTGGAGACAGCTGGACAGATGTGCAGCCATCTGGACAAAACAAGACGAACTCACAAACCTCACACAACGCAAATATAAAGTTCAGATGCATTAAAATGCTTTTATTTTTCTTTCTCAAACCGGGTCTGGTGTGGAACGTGCTCCCTGCAGCACCGTGATCCCAGAGCACATCTGCTAATACAGGAGCACTGCAGGGCACCTGTAGGTGACAAGGTCTAAGAATCCAGTTTCTAGTCTTCTGAGACTCCCAGAAGACTAGACTCCCCAAGTCTGCATCACCTCAGTAGGATTCCAACAACTCCAGGGCTGTGGCGAGAGCTCAGCTGGAGAGCATTTGCCAAGGACACTCAGGGTGCTCAGGAAAACATAGCCCCCAAACCAGACAAATGATAGAAAACCCAAGGCTGGGCCCAGCTCTGGTTAAGTGGCCTTGGCAATATCATTGGCCTTGTCCCTGGGGCCTCGGTGGAAGTCACCTGCTAATAGTGTCCCTTCCCTGGAGAGACTTAAACAATGTCGACCCCCTCCTCAAAAGTATGATTCCGCTAAAGTTCTCCCTGGGGGAACCAGTTAGTTTTACTGGGCTTACTTAGAACACGGGTGAGGGGTTATGGAAGCGTGGGTAACTCCAAAGCTACTTTACTGGAAAGTTCACCCAGTATGGGGATGATGGCTCCGCAAGGACAGCGTTTTTTCTCTGATTAGCCTCCCTGAGCCCCTGTACTCTCTGCCTCCCACATCCAGAGGGCATTTGCCATTAGTGCAGAGTCGCGTTAACATGGCTGTCTACTTTCATTTCTGGTGCTCTAATAAAACATCCTGGAAAAGCAACGTTGGGCTTTATTTGGCTCACAACTACAGATCACAACCTGTTATTGAAGGTAAGCAAAGGCAGGAAGGAGAATAAAAATATGGATCATAATTCAACCCCTTGCTCTCAGCTAGCTCGCTCCTGAATAGTGCTACTCAAAGTGGGCTGGCTCTTCCTGCATCAGTTAACAACCAAGACAGTACCACACAGACACGCCCACAGGCCAACCTGAGCTAGATACTTCTTCCTTATGACTCTCTTCCAGGTGACTCTAGGCTGTGTCACCGTGGAAGTCTGAGTAAGAATGACCCCCATAGGCTCACAGATTTGAGGGAGTGGCTCTGTTTGAAAAGATTAGGAGTGCAGTGGGAGGCCGCTTGTTTGTTTCCTGGCTACTCCAGAAATAATCACACAGAGACTATATTATTTAAATCACTGCTTGGCCCATTAGCTCTAGCTTCTTATTGGCTAACTTTTTTTTTTTAATATTTATTTATTTATTTACTATACAATATTCTTTCTGCGTGTATGCCTGAAGGCCAGAAGAGGGCACCAGACCTCATTACAGATGGTTGTGAGCCACCATGTGGTTGCTGGGAATTGAACTCAGGACCTTTGGAAGAGCAGGCAATGCTCTTAACCACTGAGCCATCTCTCCAGCCCCTTGGCTAACTCTTACATCTTAATTTAACCCATCTCTATTAACCTGCACATCACCACAAGATCATGGCCTACCAGCAAAGTTTCAGCACGTCTGTCTCCCGCAGCAGCTCGATGGCTTCTCTCTGGCTCCGCCTCCTGTCTCCCAGCATTCCATTTAGTTTTCCCCACCTAACTCTGTTCCCCTATAGCTCTGCTATAGGCCCAAAGTGGTTCCTTTATTAACCAATGATATTCACAGCATACAGAGAGGAATCCCACATCAAGGAGGTGTCACTGGGGATAGGCTTTGAGGTTTCAGAAAGTCCACTCCAAGCTCAGAATCTCTTTCTTCCTGAAGAGTCCAAGAATAAGAATATAAAAAAGTAGATTGCAGAAATAAGAAAGTAGAAATAAAGAAATATAAAGTTGTAAGCCTAAGAGAATGAGAACAGACTGTCAGCAGCTTTCTCAGCAGCTTAACGATTAGCTATTAACAGTGGGTTACTCCGCTTTACAACCCAGAGCTCTATTTGCAAGGCTGAAGCTGCCCTCTGCAAATTTAGGATGGCTCTGTAAACTGAGGGTCAGCTTTTAGGTCCTGCCTCCCCCGCCACTCATGACCAGAAATTGATGTGAGTTAACTTTTAAATGATGGGATGTACGTGACTTTTTGGTTTTATATTGTCCCACACCCTTCCCTGCTATGCAAAACTGGCAGCATTGGGGAGGTGCAGAGCCTTGGTAAACATGTCAGGGAAGCCAAGGGAAAACAGTGGACTAAATACAAGCTCTAGCTTAACTGAAAACTTCTGTTAATGGAAATTGCAAAGGAGGGCAATTTGTATCTGAGTTTTACCTTGAGGTTATAAAAATTCCTTTATTATTGCCTAATCCTTACTATAAAAGGGAAGGTTCAAAAGCTGTCCTTTGCCACAGCCTTATAAGCCCGGACTCAGGCTGTGGTCTCAGCTAGCTGATAAGCTTTTTGTGCCACATGGAGATTTTTTTTTCATTTTTTTCCCCCTAGAATAAAGTTTGCTTCTGGTTTACTAGATTCGGTGGTCTGTCCCCATCCTTGTGTGACCCTCGTGGACCCAACACTTCCTGCTGCCTGTGGATCTGGATCTGGACCTCTCAACTACTCCAGGACCATGTCTGCCTGTGCACTGCCATGGTCTCCGCCATGATGACAATGGACTAAACCTCTGAAAAAGCATGACCCGGTTAAATGTTTTCCTTTATAAGAGTTGCTATGGTCACGGTGTCTCTTCACAGTAACAGAACGCCGACTAAGACAGTCACATTGACAAAACTAACCAGCACAATCCACCCCTTGTCAACTTGATGCACAAACAAGTCATTTAAGCCATAACTTCCCATTCCTTGTCTCCAAAGTCCCATCTGTTAAGATGATATCAAATAAGTCCAACTCCAAAAAGCCCCCAGACTCTCAACTATGAGATCCTATGAAATTAAAAAAAAGTTATAGATTTAATTTTTCTTATCCCTAATGGGAAGAACTGGGGCATAAAGAAAATCACGCCAGCTCTTCTTCCTCTTCCTCTTCTCTCTCTTCCCCTCTCCCCAGCCCCTGTCCTTCTCTCTCTGTGTCTCTCTCTTTCTGTTTGTGTGTCTGTCTCTCTGTGCCTCCCTCTGTCTCTCTATGTCTATCTCTCTGTCTTTCTGTATCTCTCTCTCTTCCCATGAGGTTTCTCTGAACTCTCTTTCTCCCCTCTCTTCCTCCCCCTCTCCCCATAAAGAAACCCTCCAGGTGAAAAAGAAAAAAGAAAATCACACCAAGGCAAAACTAAAATTCATTTGCGTAAATCCAAATCCCGTAGTTTCAATTTCTGACATATGGGACCCACGCACAATCCTCTGGGCTCCAAAGGGCTCGTGAAGTCCCACGTCTCTGTTTCCTTCAACATGGAGCTCCTCCCTTAGCCCAGCTCCATTCCACACCCGCAGTACTCTTTGACAGACAGCCCGTGGTCCTGGTATCTTCGATACGTGGAGTCTCTGCTGCAACTGAGGCTTTTTCTTCTAAAAGCAATGTATTTTCAGCATCCTTTGCAGGGATTCGACCCTGCCTCAAGGTGTCAAGCCTCAGCTGCTTTCCATCCCTCTTCAACCTTGCATTTTCATGCCCTCAAAACCAGGACCATCAGAACGATGCTTACAATATCACCAAGTTTGACCAGCTCAGCATGTAGCCTGGTCCCCTCGAGTCAGCTTCTGTGTGCTGAACCTGAGGAAACACGTTCCTACTATCCCAATGAAACATGGGAAATTTTACTTCAGTGGTGCTGTGCTCTGGACAATCACAGCTGTTTCTTCAGCCCCAGGAATGGATCTAAAGGCCCTTTGGATCTCTGCTCCCTTTTTGAAGAAATGTCTACAGGCAGCAAGTGATAATAGTGATGGCCTCTTGCAATCAGCCAAGAGAATCTGATGAAAATGATTTGTTCAGAGGATCGTGTTCCACCATTAAAAAGGAGACCTAACTCTGCTTAACCATGTCCACTCCGGCCCTCACTTCTATCTTATCAGTCAGGCGACCCTGGCACAGGTGCCAACGCTGAAGCATAAACAAAGTCATTAAGATGTCATCAAAGCATTTCCTGCCCGGTTCTGATGCTCAGGTTGTCTTTTTACTGCTGTTGGACATGTTAATGGTGTTTGAGAAAGCCAGGATTCACTCCAGCTGGGTCACATTTGTCCAGTTTAGATATAAACTCATCCTCTTGCCTAAGGGTGTGAAAACTGTCTGTCTTGCTTCCATCTGAGATATACCTCTGTGTCTCCAGAAACACTGTGCCATAGGCAATCTGAACACACCCACCACTTTTGGGGGTCTTACAGACACTTTGGTGGTGGTTCTCATTCGAGAAGACCTGGTGTTTCCGGGGCCAAGGTGAGTCGCCTGCTTGTCTCTAAGTCACTTCTGACAGCCCCTGTGGAGGAGACAGTGGGGTGTCCTGACCCTCCTATGCTGACAGGAGGGACTCTGTAGGGAGCCAGTTACTGGCAAATTCTCAGCCGAGGTCTAGAATTCTTTGGCATTTTTGTTTCGGCCACGAGATGGGTGGGACAGATTGTGTCTGTGGCAGAACTGGGGTCATTTTAATGGGACACTGTAAACTGTAAAGTGGGAGAGCCCTGAGTTTGGCAGCACTGCTGGCTTCTATTGACTGTGTGCCAGTGACATTGTCACAAGCTCCAAACCAGAAATGGCCACGGATGCTGGCTGATGGTGTCGCCTCGGGGGTACACTCACCCGATTGTGAAGGGCTGAGCTGGGGATGGGATCCAGGTGATCTCTGGGTTCCTGTCAAGAGTACTGTGGGGCTAGAACAGGGCGATACAGAGGCCCATCTTCTGAGCGCCATCTTGGTTGTAGGAAGGCTACACCAAGTCCAACCTATTCTTTCATGAGGACTAAGGGACTTTGATGGGGACATCCAAGGAGGTGAGCACAGTACCTGGTCCCTGTGGTGACTAAGACCCTGCATTTCTCAGAGCTCTACCCTCCCACCCCCTACCCTTCATCTCCCACCCCACCCCACCCCCTCCCCCACCAAAGATGTTCTTGCTGTTTTTCCTGGCTCTATCCTGCCTGGGAAGCCCTGTGCCCATGGCCTCTGATAAGTTCTGACGTCAGTAACTGCTTTGCATGAGAAACACTATCCAGACCCCCAACTGTTCACTCTTAAGGCTTAGCTGAGCATCGGATGGCAATATCTGGTCCAGGATAAGGGTGACAAGAGGCTGGCTCTTGTTCCCTGACTTGTTCACATTTTTAGTATCTGTCTCTAAAAGCAAGCCAGTGGGCATCGTGGGAGCCCACCGTAGCCAGAAGGGGAGGTGGCCATGGAAGATCAGCCTGAGAACCTACAGTTACAAGACGGGCTCCTGGGAGCACATCTGTGGGGGCTCCACCATCCATCCACAGTGGGTACTCACTGCTGCCCACTGCATCCAAAGGTGAGACACCCCTGGGGGCCCCTACTGGGTGTAGGATGTACAGTGGGCTACCCCAGACCAGTGGCCTCTGAGCCACCCAGGATCTGTCCTCCCGCAGGCAGGATGCCGACCCAGCCTTATACAGGATCGAAGTGGGGGAAATATTCATGTACAAGAAGCAGGAACTTCTGAACACCAGCAAGATCATCATCCACCCCGACTTCAACGTTTTTAATAAGAAGTTTGACTTGGCCCTGCTGAAGCCGACTAACCGCCTATCTAAGTACAGGCCAATCTCTCTGCCAAAAGAAAACTTGACTTTCAACTCAAATGACCAGTGCTGGCTGGCTGTGTGTGTGTGAGTGTGTGTGGGGGGGTGGCTTGTTGAAAACGGTAAACTGGAGCTTTAATGTAGAGAGACGGGGAGGGGGCATTGCACAATCTTTCCTTTCCTGTCCCTTCCCAGAGAGCTAGCTAGCAGTGTGGAAACAAATGGGTAAAAGCAAGGCTCTCCAATGTCCCAGCTGTTGCATTGGGTAGGCTTCTTGGCCTCCAATGAAATGCCCACAAAAATCGGGGGTATTTTCAGATCTCCTGGCTAGGAGATAGCCAAGGCAGAGTCAACCTGGGTTGCTCTGGCTTGAAGCCGTTGCCACCTTTTGGGGTGTCTGAGACCAAGTTTTCACCACTGGCTTCAGGGCATGGCCCTTGTCTCCTCCAGTTTCTCCAGGTCCACATGCTGTCACTGTGACTTTATCACTAAACTCTGCTGGGTTTCCATGTGTCTGTTCCCTTGTGTTCTCTCCTGTCTCTGAGAAAAGAACTCTTACAACGGGAGTTAGGGCTCATCCGAAATTCAGGGTAAGCTCACTAGGTAGGCTGCCTCAAATTTAAGACCCGCCTACCTCAAGGCTAGGATTAAAACCTGTGGCCAGGCAGTGGTGGCGCACGCCTTTAATCCCAGCACTAGGGAGGCAGAGGCAGGCGGATCTCTGGGAGTTCGAGGCCAGCCTGGTCTACAAGAGCTAGTTCCGGGACAGGCACCAAAGCTACAGAGAAACCCTGTCTCGAAAAACAAAACAAAACAAAAAACCTGTGCCACCCAGGATTTATCCCTACTGCCTGTACTGGCTTTTTGGGAACCTATTCTTTTTGGATGGATACCTTGCTCACTCTAGACATAGTAGGGAGGGCCTTGGACCTTCCCCAAAGCAATGTGCCTTACCCTCTATATGGAGTGGATGGGGTGGGGGGGTAAGTGGAGGGAATGGGAGGAGGGAAGGGAGTGGGAACTTGGATTGATATGTATAATGAAAAAAATAGTTTGTTTTCCTTTTTTTTTTAAAGAAAAAAAAAAAAAAAGAAGCCCAGTATCAGCTGGGCAGTGGTGCCGCATGGCTTTCACCCCAGCACTCTGGAGGCAGAGGCGGGCAGATCTCATCTTTTTTCTTTAAATCAAATACTATAAATCTTGTGTTTATGATAAAAACTAATATCTCTTTATTTCCCCCCACTTCATAAAACCTTTATGCAAATGTTTTGATTCCCCATCTTGGTAAAGTCTTAAAGGGCCAATCTCACCCTTTTCCTTCATTTTCTTTGTATTAAGTCTTTTGAAACTAGCCAACCACAAAAGACTGTAAGGTAGGACCCCAGCCAATGGGAAAAAGACATGGCCACCAGGTGGACTAGACTAAAACCCAAGTGCTCGTCTTGTCCTGTGTGCTCATATCGGTTGGCACGACAGTCTCTGTGACAGAGGGAAGCAGGGCATGCTGAGATGTGCCCACTGTTCCGGCTGGTTCTGACCCGCTGCAGCCTCTTCCTGGAACAACAGCGTGAAATTTACAACTCTGTAATTTTTACATAATATATAAAGTTTAGAAACAGCCAAGCGTGTTTCTACTCAGATACTTCGGGTGTTAAATGTACTAAAGTCAACTGAAAATAGTTGCATACAAAGCATTTAAAGTTGTCCCCACAGACCGATCTTTAAATAGACCCTGACTTTAAGATGTTTCCTAAGTGGCTGAAAACCTGAAACACAGACATCAGAAAACATAACAGAACTCTTATGAATATAACATACAATCTTGTTTTTTCTTTTAAATTTTTTCCGGTTTTTCTTTTTCTTTTCTTTTCTTTTCCTTTCCTTTTTTTTTTTTTTTTTTTTTTTTTTTTTTTTTTTTTTTTTTTTTT